ATAAACGGCCGATGAACTCATATATCAATACTGAACTCTTTATGTTGTAGTGATTGAATGGTGTTAAACAAACCCAAATCGAGGACATCGAAATTGGGGTTGTTTGGTGGTTGACAAATCATTCTTATGGTCCACCCATATTCAATACCAGTGCGAATAACTTCCTCATCATCAACTGCAATGTGGTATAGCATTATATTGCTGGATTTTGATTGGCATGGTTCTACTACCAATAGGCCATTTTTATTTTATTGGGGGAATTAATGTACTTGTTCGAATATAGACTTTTTGGACTAAAGCGCTGAGCCAGTATAAAGAAATCTCAAATTAATAAAAACAGTGGCTGGCGAAATTGTGCAAGTGTGGAGAGGAAAATAAGAAGAAGAAGACTTTTTGGATAGTTTTTGCAAAGACAACCGTAATAATTAACCCTAAACAAATTGTCATCGGGTAAAAAACCAAAGAAACAATTATTACAATATTTTATCTGTTCACTACAAAAACTATTTTGACAAATGCGTGTATTTCAGGCGACTACTAAAGTCACTTTGTCCATTGTTAATTTAAATAAATAACTAGTGATACACTTAATATCAGTATTTAAATAATCCTTAAAAAAAACTAAAATCCGACACTTATTTTGTTACGAATTAAATACTTTCCTCTATCCTAAATATAGGTCTGATTAAATTGAACTCAAAAATTTTACTATGGGATTAGTTGAATAATGTCTAATATATGACTCTGGTTTTGATAATATCTAGCTTTAAGCTGAAAATCTGGGCCACCTGGGAAATATGAATATTCACTAATTGGCTAATCTGTGTCCTGGCGAGTAAAGGTTCTGGAACATGAAATGTGCTATAATAAAACACGATAATTCTCGACGGATTTATATGCAGCACATGGCGTTGCCCAAATTCACTTTGATTACGGAAATAAAATGCGTACGATAAAACGTGTAATTGGTTAATTACGTTTTGCATAGATTCAGTATGGGTTAAGCAATTTGCAGAGTTGTTACAAAATCAGTTTTATAACAAAAAAAAAGAAAAAAAAAGTATATAACACGTCTGACATGTACGTGTTCGGAGTAATGATATGAAAGTGTACAATATTTCTCGAAAACGTGACTCTTCTTCAATAATTTTCAGCATTTAATCGACAAAAACAGAACATTTTCATGACAGTAAAAGTAAATTACTTTCATTAAAATGATGTCAAATACCTCGCATAGTCCGGCTTCAATCAGTTCCGATTCACTAGTTTCATACAGTTCGGGATATTGCTTACTACTCGGACTATGCAAGGCGTTGCTGTATTTAAATAAATGACAAATTTTACAACAATCCTTAAGTTACTTATTATTTCTATATATGTTTTCTATTTGATTTGGTCATATTAAACATATTTGTAGAAATTTCAATGGATTATGTAGGAATTACGTAATAGTAATTACAATCTGTTGTGGGTATTTCGGGAATTGTATAAAAGTTTTGGAAGTGGTTTTAAATGAATTTTATAATTATATACAGTGTTATATAATTCGGTACGAAATGAGGCGGGTGAATGGGAGAGTTTATGAAATGTTAATAAAGTTTCTGGAAATAGAAGATGTGGGAATGATCCGGATCCAGGCTGTGGAATGAATTTAATTAGTTGTGAATCGTGCGACCGCTGCACGTGAATTCCTGCAGTGGCGTAGGCGGTTAATCGAACGGCAGGATTTGAAATGATGTTGCGGAGCGTCGGCGTCGATGCAGACGGACGCAACGAGAGGGCGTCGTACAGGGACGTAATCAATTTTTGGACTTCATCAGAAGCGTATTGATTGCAACTATTAAACATTTAACAGCCGGTGAATATAAGTTCATGATATGACGAACGGGTATTTCCAAATCGAAATGCATTAAATATTTCCGTTAAGTGTTTAAGTGTATCCAACGAAGAGTTGTTGTTGGTTGAAGATACCAGTGGCGTTCTTTTAAACTACTTGTAGTTATTTAAAGTACAAATATTGCATTATTCTTATCGTTAGGAAAAAGTATTTAAAAAAAATACAGGGCTAAGGTAACTAGTCATGATTCGCTTAACGTACATATGATTAAAGAAATTATTATAAGCTGAGACAATCAAGGTTTGCACTAACGTACATTTTCATACGAATGTACATTTTATCGTCGGATCACCTGTACACTCTTTAAAAGTTAAGATCAATATATGGGCTTCATCAGTTTCGTATTTATTGCACCTATTTACTAACTAGTGGATATAAGTGATAATACTAATGGGAATTTTTATATCAAAATGCATGAAATATTTGTGGTTTAATGAAGGATAGGGATGTTGTGCTTCGAAGAAGAAGTTGATATTTACTGTATAATAAAAATAATTGTCATCGTGCTTATAGATAGAAATGCAGTATTATGATTGAAGTTTTCATAAAATTATAAGGTTAAGGTAAATAGTCAACGCTTCACTGTAATTGAGTATATTCAAGTTAGTGCATATAAGTATGAAATAGAACAAATAGGTATTTTTCAAGCAAAAATATATTAAATATGTAGATCAAGTGATTTTTTATATAAAGAAAAGTATTTACGTTTTTTTTAAAACGTTCGCAATAACGTACTCAATGTTCCCACAACCGTACACTTTATCGTCAGATCGCCAGAATATACTTTAATAGTTAACATCAATTTTGGAGCTCAGCAGAAGCTTATTTATTGGAACTATTTAGCAAACTGTGGGTATAAGTACGTGATATGACAAACGGGTATTTCCAAATCGAAACGCATTAAATATTTGTATTAAGCGTTTGCGTCTAAGTAGTCCCAACGAAGGGTCGGGATATTGTAGTTCAAAAACTGTGGTGTTCTGTTAAACTACTTGTTGATTTTTAATATATAATCAATAATAATTGCAAATTTTATATAATATAGTTTAATAATTTCAAATGTGGCAAGTAAATTAAGTACTTACATATAATTAAAAAAAATATTGTACGGTAAGTGAATTTACATAAATTTACTTATTTACATTGTTTTTGTATACACGTGTCTTAACATTCGCACTGACGTACACAATATTCAAACGAACGTACACTTTATTTAAAATCACTAGTCCATACTTTAAAAAATAATATATTGGTTTTTATTAGGATTCTATAAAATTCATAAATAATAAAAGTTAATAAAAACGATTACTTTGTTACTTTGCTTGCTAATTAAAGTTAATACTGTTTTTAATGATAGAATCAAGCAGTCACTACGAAAAGTAAATGACGTTTTTATTTTATATAAATAAAGTTGACGTTTCTCTACCAAATTCGAATTTGTTATGCAAATTATCTACACATAATTTAATGTTGATGTCTTAATAACATTTGTAAGTAAAATGAATAAATTTCAATTTAAGATACAATTATTTTAACTTTTTGTTTTTCAGGTGTTACAAGTTTATTAGCAAAAATGATAGAAATTTTGAAGTTCCAGATATATATGCAGTATATGAATACCTGAAAATATTAGTTTTGAAAGAAAATCGAAAGATTACCTATATTTTCATAACATGCTTCGTATTAAATAAGGTAATGAAAATATTTATTTATGTTTGTATTTTGAATTAATTATTTATTTAGATATAATTTGTACAATTCAATTCCTTTTTCATATATATCTAGGTAGTTTGCAAATAGTATATAAAACACAACAAATATATTTACACTTATATAAGGTATTTTATACGTAGAAATTTGTAGATATTAGAAATACACTAGAAATGTTTTTAGTAAATATTAATTTTATGAATTATAAAGGTTTGTCCACACTAGTTGTCATTAGTATTTTTCCTTATGCTTATTTTTATACCTTAACGTTATTACAAGTCAAAAAGGAGATATATTAAAAAAATAGAAGTTAGTTTGTTTCACTTAATCCTTATTAATTTATTTATTTCAATAGTGCATTTCTCATAAAATTATGCTGCGATATTTTAGTCTAGTGAGTCCAGTATTTTCACAATTCATCTCCTTCCATTTCATCGTGCAATACTTAACTTTCCAGATCATTGAATAACCTCTATAACACTACGACCCTCAATGAACTGAACATTTTCTCCAGCAACTTCTACCTGTAACCCATCCTTATCATCCATTTACTTGAATTATTCCATTTCATTTTCAGTTAATCATATTTGATTTATATATGATCTTTTCATTTCAATCTACTATTTCAAAAATGTTTCTTACTTGATTACAAATCTTTGATGTTTAATATTTCTGGATCCATAATTGAGGTAGTACAAATAAATAGTATTGCCTCTGTATATCTTTTTCTTCTTATTAATGATTTCTGTCTACTCCTTACTATAGTGCTGGGAAAAACTATAGTAGTTACATATAAATTTTACTTATCTATCTGGTTAATACTCAATGTACATAGAATTTACTAGCTGAATTAAAATTCAGGAAATTTTCAGTTCTTAAAAAGTAAAATTAATAGAAATACCATTGCTAATCTTTACTCTAATTTTATAGTATACATTAGCTAAAATTAGACTAAGATTAGCAATAATATTTATAAAAAAACAGCCTATTTCGTAAGTAAAAATTGTTTGGGAATCAAAACGATTTTTCTGAATTAAGTTATTTATGTTTGTTATTGTATCAACCAAACAAAAATGTGATTGGGACTATTTAGAGTTGAATTGATTGACAAACTTAGGTTTTTTTTGGTATGTAGTGGCAACGTCCTTGCTTTACTTGAGGTATTAGGTAATCTCTTGGCTGTGATATTTAATGAACAGTATTGTGATAAATATATGTTGCAGGAAGTTCGGGTCACCCCTCCGGGTACGTCCCTGCGCTGGGGCGTCGGGGTTATAGAAGCATGAGCAGGATGGGACTATCGAACTTTATAGCAGCAGGAAAAAGGATGGAAAGTGTGAGGAGCAGAAGCAGAGGAGAGTAGAGTGCCGCGCGCTGCTCCATGGCTACCCACCATCCGACCATCCGACAATCCGACCGGCCGACCGACGACGACGCCTGCTGATCCTGCCACCGAAGTATCCGAGGCTGCCGACTTCATTCAGTCCTCCTGCAGAAGCTCGCGGAGTGCGTACACTGCCGCACTGCATACATACAGACAGACACTCGCTGGTGCCGATCCTTGCGAATCCTGAGAGCGCGCGCCAAAGGTATGACCGTCGCGACGTGCGTGTGCCTCGCGGCATCCGCGTTGATCCTCCTGGTGGTCGCAACCGTCCCCGTCGTCAAAGGGGACGGCGAACCCTGCCAGCCGGACAAGCTGACCGTTTACAAAGTGGTGCTTCACACGTTCTGGTCCAGAGATAAGTTCCCAAAACATTACCCAGATTGGCGTCCACCTGCTCAATGGTCCAAAGTTTTCGGTATGTCTTATTTTAACTTCTCCAAAAACCACACAAAAGTTTAATATTATTTAGGGATTCTCATATTTTCTTAGCCTATTGAGACAAAATCATTTTCAATTACGAAATGACAGAAACTAACTTTCTGAAGAAAGTTTCAAACTTTCATATTGATCTAAAACTATATTGAAAAATAAGCAACTACTCAATATTTTAGTTTCAGAGTCACAACACACTTTACTTCCCTATGAAAATATACATTTTATATTCCTCCATAATATTAGCTTATAAAATATTGATGCACATTTTTTTTTCTATCAAATCGAAATGTGTTTCACTATAAAATAAAATAATATATAAATATTGATGACAATATCAAAATTATCTTTAATATTATATTAACATTTAGAACTTGTTTAAACTTATATTTTTATCAATATTATTACTATTGATTTACAAAATATATTCATAGAAAAGACATATATTTTAATACTAGTCAACATAATTATCAACAAATCTTAGTTGATTCATTTAAATTGAATAATTTTATAGTAAATATTTAAAAAATAAATACCAGTTGAATCAAATTAAAAATAATCAATACTCGCATTGGTTTTGAAAAAATAATAATTATTAAATTTGAAATTTATTGTTTTTTAACGAAAGTTTACTTTTAATTTATATTTTTATCTTCTTATATATCTTCTTATGTTTTTAAAACTTTTATATTGATCCAGAAGTATATTTGAGTTTAACTTCCTGCGGCTATAAGGTACTTGTGCGTATGTAATGAAAATATGTATGTATTATATAACTCACTCAATATTTAATTATACTATAAAAATCACCCTTTATTTGTTTTGAACCCAAGTTTCTTTGAAACAAACATAATAAAATTCAGTATATAATCAAATATTTAAAAAATACCTTACTTGGTTTACTTTATAAGTTAGTTACCGGGTTTTGATTTCATTGAAAAGATTTATTGGAAAAAAATATTCTTTATTTATTTTTTTTTAATTTTGGAGAGTTAAGTTAAAAATACTTTTATTAACTTTTAGTCTTTAAAAAGTTTTTGTTTAATTTTCAATTAATTAATTTAATTTTAAGAATTTTTGAAGTTAAGATTTCTTTTGAACTTATATATTTCTCAATTATTGAAAGGTTTATCTTTTGATAAATTATAGACCACGAAATTCTTCATCAACCACACAGTTTGATACAGTAAATTATAAATAAAAAATGTTGATAATATAATACTTTAAATTACTTTATCATTCCAACTTAGCCACTTCCAGTTCAGATTTCTATAAATAACAGAAAAGAAATGGTTAAAACGTATAGACCTGTGAAATATTTTTATTTAACATAAAAAAAATAAATGTATTTAGAATCAATACAAATTATACACAAAAGTATTGTAAATTAAAAAAAATATATATAGAAATATCTTTGATCTATAAATTTTTTAATTATTAGATTTTTCTAGCCAAGATTTGTATATTTATTTACCTTTAAGGCAATTTCCTTTTATCTCTGCTAATACAAATTTTGTAAATTAAATGTTAGAAATCTATTACTTAGAGGAAATAACTAAAATGTATATACTTTAGTGCCAAGATTTCAGAATTTATTTACTATTCAGTCAATTCATTTGTGATAGTATTTTCTTTAATGTTTACTTTACCATTTATTTTTAAACCGGAAATATAAAAAAAATAAATAACTTACAAATTTAATTGAAAATTAAATGCTATAATAATATAATTTCTCCATTTAAAGAATATTTTAAAATTATTGAACTTCATTAATTTTGTTACGTAATGAGTGACACGGATTTAGATTAATGGACGGATATGTTCGCGCCTCGTTTATTAGACAAAAATAATTAGAAAACGCCGAAAGATTTATTATTATAAACTATCAATTAGGTTTATTAAATATTGTTTTGAATTAATTACTTGTTAAGTAATTTGTATGAATTCAGACACTGAAAAATATTATTTATTACCATAAAATATTTGCCACGTGGCAAATAAATGTATTATTTGCTAAAAATTTGTTTTTACATATATTTAGTTTGTAATACATTTTGAAATCTGATGTAAGCTATTGCTTTTCAGATCTTACTTCAGTATTTGAATAAGTATATTTGTAGTTAAATTATAATTTATAATCATTTGTAATATAAAATAATAGTATAAAAGTATGAACAAATTGCCAAACTGAAAAATACGCAATTTTTGAGTTTCAGTTAAAGCTTCCTTTATTTAATACTTAGTTGTTACATTTATGTTCAGTTTTGATATTTATTTGAGGCTATTGAGAGCTGTAACTCGTTATGGCGAGATATTTGATACATTTGATATGACAATTTATTACTATCTAATTGTAACTAATTATAAAAACAAGAAAGTAGCTTTCACTATTTTATTTATGTTAACTGAGGAATTAAATGTACTATGATATTTTTTTGTTCAGTTGACATCTTGTTGAAAAAGCGCCATCTCTTGAGTTACAAATAACTAAGCAGTCGACTAATAAAGCAAAGCTTGTGGTTTATTGTAGACAATACATATAATTTATTTTTTTTTTGGTCTGGCATTATGACTTTTATGAAATGTAAATGCAAGGTGGAAGTAAACCGGCTGTTGTGTTGAATCGATAATGAGTGGGAAATGGGAAATCCAGGTAGTAAAATCCGTGCTGAAATAATGGTGCTGCGGAGTGGCCCGAAATGATATACATGGAATATGGAAATATCCAGGGATTTTTGACAGTTTAGCGGCTGCAAAGGCACAATGGTTCATCAAATCGAACGCGTAATGCGCCCAAATTAATGCAAATCAAATGGGATGACATTTATTCTGCTGCAGCCGTATTTTCCATTTCGGTCCAAACGTTCGTTCGTTCTCCTCTTCTTCTACTTTTCCTCTTCTCTTCTCGCGCCGATGACACATTTTCTCTCCCGCTCTATTTATAAACGGGGATTATTTTAAGAAAGTGCTTTCCGTCTCTCTCTCACCTCCTCAAGCCACGGGCTTTATTTTAAAATGTGCCGCCATTAGCGCACACCACGCTTCAGGAACACTTAAAACGAATCACTTCGGATGGTAGGTTTCCATTTCCCACCTACACTTATTTAATTCCAAATATAGCGATTATATAAACATTGTATACACATCAACAATGTTCTGATTACTTCAAATAGTATACTATAGGTAACACATTTTTTTATTACATGTGTTTCAAAGAAGTTTCTATGTTATGTTTTCTATTAGTAACTCTATATTACTAAACTAGATATTAGCATGTTTCTAGAAACATTTCTAATACTTTGTATATTTTAGTAATCAAGTTACTACTTCTATTAATAATTTAAAAAAAAACTTTAAATTGTAACTTAAATATATATTAACAAGTCTATAGAATCATTACTTGTAATCATCATTTTTATATAATAATGAAAGAATCATTTCTTATATTTTTCTACATTATTTTGTAGATATTTTTTGAGGTTATTTACTGCTTTTGTTGATAAAGGATTTAAAATAATTCTAAAAAAGATGGAACTTTCAAAGTTACTACTTTTTTATGATTATGACACTATTTCTGCCTCCTAATGTGTATCTAGGTTACTACTCTATAAGTAAATTTAGTAACTATAAAATGTTACTAAAGATTATTTTTGAAATATTTTCAATAATTGCAAAGGGCTATTGACTATTGTTCTTCTTGTCCCAATAAATATAATGTCATAAATGTATTAAAGTTGGTATTCATTACAACACCATACCAACTACAATTTAAAATAGACTGGTATGATATATGTGTTCTTTATTATTTATAGTGTGTATACATAATTAACATAGTAACATAGTTAATATACTTCTCAATTTACGACATTCTGCAAATTTGTACGTAAGTAGAAATGGTTGTAAGTCGAATTACATTAAAAATATAAAACTATAATAGATATATGTCATTAACTTCTTCTTGTTATGTAGAGTTATGTAAATACATATATAATAGTTATAATAAAAGACAAAATGCAATGAAAATGTAAATTGTCATAATAAGATAACATTTCCGATGATCTTCCAATTGTTATTTTTTTTGTAATAACAACTTTTTTTTTTGCACCATTCAACTAGTTTAGCTAAAACGAAATGTTCGTAAAATGGGAGAAAACTCCGTTCAACATACTTTGTATGCATATGTTATTGCATATTATTCGGAACTGTATTGGAAATAAAAAAAAAACGAGATAGAGAGGCTAAAAAAAACTTGTTGATCTCCAGACTAGTAACTTCAATTTTATTTTCCGTTATATTTGTACGTATCCGGAGGGCGGTTTTTAGGGGTGTTTACGGATGGGTCGAGATATTTGCATGCGGATTACACGCCGGAAAGGATATCGAGTTGCTGTCCTGAAAGACCTTCGGATCGCTCAATCATCTTTGCAAAAAAAAAGGAAACCCACCTCCCCCGGTTCCAACCAAATTCTTCTTCTTCATCATCCCTTTTTGCAACAAAATAAAATTGAATTGTCTTTTCTCTCGCGCACCATTAATCATCGAAACCCGGGGAATTTAATGAAAAGCCTTAATTATATACGGGATATCCGGTTCGTTGCCATCAAAACTGATACTCCTGATTGACGTTTTGATTGGTACATCAATTCGCAGACGTATTTATTGAGCAGTCCTTTTTTTTCATCGTATCTTCCTTCCTTCCATGTCCTGGCCTGAGGAAAAAAAGATTGGGCATCGTGAAATGTCGCAATTCAACTGGAATTGCTTCATCAGGCCAGATCTCTTCGCAAGGGGTTATTGTGTGAGCGCCCCGGGATTTATTCTCATAAGTTTATTTCCGCCGGGGATCTGCTTCTGCACCCGACGGCAAATACAGCGAAATGAGCGAGAAATCGCTTCCGAATATCGATTTATTCAGTGTGTTTCGATAATCTTGAGATACTTTTGCATCTGGAGTTCATTGAAACAACATTTGTTATATATACA